GCCGGGTCCCCTCCTCTCTCCTGATACTGTCGGGCGTTCGGTCCATGACCGAGCGCCCGACTTTTCAGAGGGGGGTGACACCAAAATGACTAAGTCATTTTGGTGTCTCCCCTCCAATGGTGTCACCCGGGTGCGGTGCGCACCCCCCCTGTGACGCCACTGACCTGTCCTTCCCGGGAGCGGCCCGATACAGCACGGATCCATACGGGCCTCCCGTTTCTCGTGTGAATGAGGGCTTAAGAGTAATGGCCACATGTACAGATGAGTGACTCAGATGCTGCTGGGCTACATGACAACCAGAATGGTAAGAGAAGACGGTCGCACAGGACCGGAGTTCTCCTTTAAAGGGCCCGGTCCTCTGTATACGGCCGTCGCCGATGAGGGCACCACAAGGCCGTAGCGGGCACTCACCTGCTTGTTGGCCTCGATGTACATCCCCAGGCTGTTCACTCTGCAGCACAGCTCGTTCTGGGCCACATGAACGTAGCAACGCAGGCTGCTGCCGTGGTAAGGTTCACGCATGTCGCCGCGGTGATCGTTCCAGCTGGATTTACTCAGCGCCGCTTCCATGAGCTTATCGGTGATTATACAGGTGTAGATGTCTGTCAGGAAGACACAGAGCAAAGCAAACGGGGACCGTGTTAGCAGATGAATAAGGTACCAGTACCGGTGAGGTGGCAGAACCCGTTTACCTTCACACTGTCTTTTCTATGGCCCCAGGAGACACCAATTTCTGCTAGCCCCACCCCCTCCATGTGGAAGTTAAATGGCAGACCCGCTAATATCCACAGAGGTTCTGGCATTGGAGTGTCAAGTATAAGCCGAGGGCTATAAAGTGGACCTCAGAAAGTGAAGCTGTTATGGGGAACAATGTTAGTTATGCCTTAGACTGCCGGACCCTGAAAAATCTACCTTTTGTCTTAGGTTCCTCTCGAAAGATAGCAAAGCACTTCCTGTACCTAGGCACTCCTGATATCAGAGCACTTCCTGTACCTAGGCAATCCTGATATCAGAGCACTTCCTGTGTCTAGGAAACCAATATCTGAGCACTTCCTGCACCTAAGCACGCCTCATATCAAAACACTTCCTGTAGCTAGCCACTCCTGATATCAGAGCACTTCCTGCACCTAGGCACGCCTCATATCAGAGCACTTCCTGTACCTAGCCACTCCTGATATCAGAGCATTTCCTGTGTCTAGACACCCCTGATATCAGAGCACTTCCTGTACCTAGGCACCCCTGATATCAGAGCACTTCCTGTACCTAGGCACTCCTGATATCAATGCACTTCCTGTGTCTAGACACCGCTGATATCAGAGCACTTCCTGTACCTAGGCACCCCTGATATCAGAGCACTTCCTGTACCTAGGCACTCCTGATATCAGAGCACTTCCTGTACCTAGGCACCCGATATCAGAGCACTTCCTGTACCTAGGCACCCCTGATATCAGAGCACTTCCTGTACCTAGGCACTCCTGATATCAGAGCACTTCCTGTGTCTAGACACCCCTGATATCAGAGCACTTCCTGTACCTAGGCACCCCTGATATCAGAGCACTTCCTGTACTTAGGCACCCCTGATATCAGAGCACTTCCTGTACCTAGGCACTCCTGATATCAGAGCACTTCCTGTACCTAGGCACTGCTGTTCTGTATTCTCATAGCTGTATATCTGCAGTGTGAGGTCATCTAAAGCACTGCTGCCTCTGACTGCTCGTCTACAGATTTGGGAGCTTGCTAGTACACCACATGGAGGAGCTGACAGGTCCACTTTATGTAAAAGCCCCTCGGACAGCGATGACATGATTTGGGGGCTATCGGGGAATGATGGTACTGGTGTATGTCGGGCTCTGCGGTTACACATCTGGTTCCTCACCCTTCGCTAGAGGTTTTTTGCTCGCATCCGGTTCCAACTTCTTGTGTGACGAGGAGAACTGTTTACTGACCAGATATGGAACCAACTCCCGGCGGATGGAGGAGAAGGAGCTGCAGAGGTACGAGAAGAGGTAGAAATGGTCAGTCTATCCAAAAAGGGATCCGAGTTCCTAAAGGTGTCTGAAAGATTGAATTACCCCAAATCTTCATAGAAACGAGATCTCCCCCATGGCTCGTCTTCCCACCCACCTAGGGGAACCCAGCACAGGGATGGTGGGAGCCCCTCATAATGGGCACAGCGGGTGTACAGACCCCGGACCTCAGCACAGGGATGGTGGGAGCTCCTCATAATGGGCACAGCGGGTGTACAGACCCCGGACCTCAGCACAGGGATGGTGGGAGCTCCTCATAATGGGCACAGCGGGTGTACAGACCCCGGACCTCAGCACAGGGATGGTGGGAGCTCCTCATAATGGGCACAGCGGGTGTACAGACCCCGGACCTCAGCACAGGGATGGTGGGAGCTCCTCATAATGGGCACAGCGGGTGTACAGACCCCGGACCTCAGCACAGGGATGGTGGGAGCTCCTCATAATGGGCACAGCGGGTGTACAGACCCCGGACCTCAGCACAGGGATGGTGGGAGCTCCTCATAATGGGCACAGCGGGTGTACAGACCCCGGACCTCAGCACAGGGATGGTGGGAGCTCCTCATAATGGGCACAGCGGGTGTACAGACCCCGGACCTCAGCACAGGGATGGTGGGAGCTCCTCATAATGGGCACAGCGGGTGTACAGACCCCGGACCTCAGCACAGGGATGGTGGGAGCTCCTCATAATGGGCACAGCGGGTGTACAGACCCCGGACCTCAGCACAGGGATGGTGGGAGCTCCTCATAATGGGCACAGCGGGTGTACAGACCCCGGACCTCAGCACAGGGATGGTGGGAGCTCCTCATAATGGGCACAGCGGGTGTACAGACCCCGGACCTCAGCACAGGGATGGTGGGAGCTCCTCATAATGGGCACAGCGGGTGTACAGACCCCGGACCTCAGCACAGGGATGGTGGGAGCTCCTCATAATGGGCACAGCGGGTGTACAGACCCCGGACCTCAGCACAGGGATGGTGGGAGCTCCTCATAATGGGCACAGCGGGTGTACAGACCCCGGACCTCAGCACAGGGATGGTGGGAGCTCCTCATAATGGGCACAGCGGGTGTACAGACCCCGGACCTCAGCACAGGGATGGTGGGAGCTCCTCATAATGGGCACAGCGGGTGTACAGACCCCGGACCTCAGCACAGGGATGGTGGGAGCTCCTCATAATGGGCACAGCGGGTGTACAGACCCCGGACCTCAGCACAGGGATGGTGGGAGCTCCTCATAATGGGCACAGCGGGTGTACAGACCCCGGACCTCAGCACAGGGATGGTGGGAGCTCCTCATAATGGGCACAGCGGGTGTACAGACCCCGGACCTCAGCACAGGGATGGTGGGAGCTCCTCATAATGGGCACAGCGGGTGTACAGACCCCGGACCTCAGCACAGGGATGGTGGGAGCTCCTCATAATGGGCACAGCGGGTGTACAGACCCCGGACCTCAGCACAGGGATGGTGGGAGCTCCTCATAATGGGCACAGCGGGTGTACAGACCCCGGACCTCAGCACAGGGATGGTGGGAGCTCCTCATAATGGGCACAGCGGGTGTACAGACCCCGGACCTCAGCACAGGGATGGTGGGAGCTCCTCATAATGGGCACAGCGGGTGTACAGACCCCGGACCTCAGCACAGGGATGGTGGGAGCTCCTCATAATGGGCACAGCGGGTGTACAGACCCCGGACCTCAGCACAGGGATGGTGGGAGCTCCTCATAATGGGCACAGCGGGTGTACAGACCCCGGACCTCAGCACAGGGATGGTGGGAGCTCCTCATAATGGGCACAGCGGGTGTACAGACCCCGGACCTCAGCACAGGGATGGTGGGAGCTCCTCATAATGGGCACAGCGGGTGTACAGACCCCGGACCTCAGCACAGGGATGGTGGGAGCTCCTCATAATGGGCACAGCGGGTGTACAGACCCCGGACCTCAGCACAGGGATGGTGGGAGCTCCTCATAATGGGCACAGCGGGTGTACAGACCCCGGACCTCAGCACAGGGATGGTGGGAGCTCCTCATAATGGGCACAGCGGGTGTACAGACCCCGGACCTCAGCACAGGGATGGTGGGAGCTCCTCATAATGGGCACAGCGGGTGTACAGACCCCGGACCTCAGCACAGGGATGGTGGGAGCTCCTCATAATGGGCACAGCGGGTGTACAGACCCCGGACCTCAGCACAGGGATGGTGGGAGCTCCTCATAATGGGCACAGCGGGTGTACAGACCCCGGACCTCAGCACAGGGATGGTGGGAGCTCCTCATAATGGGCACAGCGGGTGTACAGACCCCGGACCTCAGCACAGGGATGGTGGGAGCTCCTCATAATGGGCACAGCGGGTGTACAGACCCCGGACCTCAGCACAGGGATGGTGGGAGCTCCTCATAATGGGCACAGCGGGTGTACAGACCCCGGACCTCAGCACAGGGATGGTGGGAGCTCCTCATAATGGGCACAGCGGGTGTACAGACCCCGGACCTCAGCACAGGGATGGTGGGAGCTCCTCATAATGGGCACAGCGGGTGTACAGACCCCGGACCTCAGCACAGGGATGGTGGGAGCTCCTCATAATGGGCACAGCGGGTGTACAGACCCCGGACCTCAGCACAGGGATGGTGGGAGCTCCTCATAATGGGCACAGCGGGTGTACAGACCCCGGACCTCAGCACAGGGATGGTGGGAGCTCCTCATAATGGGCACAGCGGGTGTACAGACCCCGGACCTCAGCACAGGGATGGTGGGAGCTCCTCATAATGGGCACAGCGGGTGTACAGACCCCGGACCTCAGCACAGGGATGGTGGGAGCTCCTCATAATGGGCACAGCGGGTGTACAGACCCCGGACCTCAGCACAGGGATGGTGGGAGCTCCTCATAATGGGCACAGCGGGTGTACAGACCCGGGAACTCAGCACAGGGATAGAGGGAACCTTCTGGTTTAATTGCGGTCATGTGACCATTAGGTTCCCTTCTTTCACACAAGCTCCATGCAATGAAGCAGAGATGTAAAATGATGCTCTGCGTCTTCCACCGGCTGCAAATACCTGAACAGTGACTGCAGCCCATTGGCTCCTTTCGCCAAAAGTTAACTGCACAAAATGGACTTTTGTGGAATGTCGCAGAGATACAACAAGCAGAGAATTTGGAGATTACGTACTCATTGTCCACGAGGAAGTCCACCACATATTTGCGCAGGCAGTAGAGGTGTGCGTCCACCATTCCCATCTTGATGTGGATCCGGGGGTACCTGCAGCAGAGACAGAGGCGCTATTAGGGATGTTGGGATTGAAGATGAGGCGGCATCAAATATTTCATAACGACACATTCATAAACCAGAAATGTTCTCTGCCCATTGGAGAATTTTGGAACATGCGTCTATTTTTGTGTTACCAATTCTGATATAGCCAGAGTGGCGCCATTTGGCTCAGTACGCTGTCCCCTCGGCTTTAGAAGGCAGTGGGCGATGGCCTACCAAGCACTCAGGCAACAGTAACTATCAACATTCTGGCTACTGAGGAACAAAAAGCCCCAGCACACCCGGGAGCAATAGAGAGACTCGTGCTTCTCCACAGGTATATCAGGGAATCATGGGAAGGCATGCAGAGATAACAGGGAATCATGGGAAGGCGTGCAGAGATAACAGGGAGTCATCGGAAGGCATGCAGAGATAACAGGGAATCATGGGAAGGCGTGCAGAGATATCAGGGAATCATGGGAAGGCGTGCAGAGGTAACGGGGAATCATGGGAAGGCGTGCAGAGATAACAGGGAGTCATGGGAAGGCGTGCAGAGATAACAGGGAATCATGGGAAGGCGTGCAGAGATAACAGGGAGTCATCGGAAGGCATGCAGAGATAACAGGGAATCATGGGAAGGCGTGCAGAGATATCAGGGAATCATGGGAAGGCGTGCAGAGATATCAGGGAATCATGGGAAGGCGTGCAGAGATAACAGGGAATCATGGGAAGGCGTGCAGAGATAACAGGGAATCATGGGAAGGCGTGCAGAGATAACAGGGAGTCATGGGGAGGCATGCAGAGATAACAGGGAGTCATGGGAAGGCGTGCAGAGATAACAGGGAATCATGGGAAGGCGTGCAGAGATAACAGGGAGTCATGGGGAGGCATGCAGAGATAACGGGGAATCATGGGAAGGCGTGCAGAGATAACGGGGAATCATGGGAAGGCGTGCAGAGGTAACGGGGAATCATGGGAAGGCGTGCAGAGATAACGGGGAGTCATGGGAAGGCGTGCAGAGATAACGAGGAATCATGGGAAGGCGTGCAGAGATAACAGGGAATCATGGGAAGGCATGCAGAGATAACAGGGAGTCATGGGAAGGCGTGCAGAGATATCGGGGGATCATGGGAAGGCATGCAGAGATAAGAGGGAATCATGGGAAGGCATGCAGAGATAACAGGGAATCATGGGACGGCGTGCAGAGATAACGAGGAATCATGGGAAGGCGTGCAGAGATAACAGGGAATCATGGGAAGGCATGCAGAGATATCAGGGAATCATGGGAAGGCGTGCAGAGGTAACGGGGAATCATGGGACGGCATGCAAAGATAACAGGGAATCATGGGAAGGCGTGCCGAGATAACAGGGAATCATGGGAAGGCGTGCCGAGATAACAGGGAATCATGGGAAGGCGTGCAGAGATAACAGGGAATCATGGGAAGGCGTGCAGAGATAACAGGGAGTCATGGGAAGGCGTGCAGAGATAACAGGGAATCATGGGAACACATGCAGAGACAGCAGCTATAATGGTTCAGCAATGTTACCCTCCTGCCAATGCCACACAAGACTGACTCCATCTTTCCTATTACAGGGCATTGTGGGAAATCTGGACACTGCGCCCTTTCCCGCTCATCCCGCTGAATTCCGCTGACCGGAGTTTTAATCTCTCGGCTCCCCGACACCTAATTAACATTCAGTGACTAATCCCGGAGAGTGGAAAGGGGAGCGTTATCAGCTCCTTGGAATGTGATCTCCCCGGAATGTATAAACACACGAGACGAATGTCCATGAGATGACGGAAACCTGGTGGAACGCCATGCCGGGCAGAGCGGAGGAATTCCTGACGTCATGCCGGGATTTCCCAACGAGACAGAAAACACCAGAATCTTCTCCGGCTCTGCCGACCGGTAAGAGCGAGACGCTCTGCAGAAATGCAGATTCATGGCTTTCCCCCCCCCCCCCAGAACCTTTATTTTATTGCCACTAAAATGTTGTTTCTACTTAACACAGAATTGGGTTAAACATTCCTCATTTTTCTTGCAATCAATGTTTTTCTTCTTAAAAGGAGCACTAGGAGGTCGGGGTTTTTCCCCCATAGTTCTCCTTAGGGTAACGGGAGGACACAAACTAGCGTCCTCCCGTCACCCTAAGCTCAGTATATAGGGAGCTACAGCTCGCGGTATATTGAGACGCCGCAGCTGAAGCGGATCCCAACAATTATGCCAGGATCCGCCCAGCTGCGTGACTGACAGCTGGCTCCGCCTATCTAGAGGCAGAGCTAGCTGTACCTGCCCCCTCCCCCGTCCGTTCCGCCAGTCAGCGCTGGAGGATCGGAGCGGGGAGGGGGAAATCCAGCCCCTCCCCCTGTCACGGCAGAGAGCTGTGACAGGATCGAGAGGTGAGCGAACGCCGGCATGTGTTCTCTCACCTCCCGATCTACTGATCCGACCTGTGACAGTCTCATTGTCACAGGTCGGCTAGAACTATGAGGTGAGTGAAAAGCCCCTCCCCCTCCCCCCCTCGTAGTTCTCCTTTAACCCCTTCATGACTGAGCTAGTTTTCAGGTTCTGTTCATAAATGACTGACACATTTTTTACATTTTTGCTGTGTGATTCTTCCACAGCAGTAATATACTTTCTTACTAAATGTACCCACACATATTATATATAGTTTTTTAGAGGACAGATAGGGCTACATAATTATATCACATATGTGTACCTAACCCCTCACTTAGTTTGAATAAAATAAAAAAAATGAGGAAAAAAACTAGAAGAAAACACCTTTTTCACAAG